CTATTATAACTTCTGTATACATGGCAGGGTATCAGTCTCTAATTTGGAAATGAGATAATATGTACTATTTATTATACTATGTGGGAAAGGAAAAAGATTTGTTACAATTACATCCTTTTTGAGATGTATTGTGTCTGGGGGGAGGATGCACTAAGGGAGGCTCAGCCAGTCTCATTGTACACCTGTTGTGCATTGACAATAAAGTTTGAATTTTCATTTTCACAACTTGCAAATATTACAGTCTTTGCAAGTTGTGAAAACAAAAATTCAAACCTTTGCAAGTTGTGTAAATGACTTTAATACTGCAATATTCCATCCTGTAACTGTACACAGTGTAATTACATACTTCAGTTAGTAGGTGGCAGCAGTCTTGGCCTTCTGTTGGTGTTGTTGAGACAATTTAGATGTGGTGGCACCAACTAGAAACAGAAAGTTGGTAAGTTCTACTCCTACTTTAGATACCTTAGATCCTTTGGGCCAGTCATTGTCTCTCAGCTCTAGGAAGAAGGGAATGGCAAACCACTTTAGAAAATGTTGCTAAAAAATTTAAGGCAGTGGTTCTCCACCTGTGGTCCATGGACCCTGGGCGGGGAGAGAGTTGTGACTCATCGCACAAAGTCCTTGAAGAAATATTATAATTTAAATATTTAGTTAAGTCTTGGGGATCCATGGCCACGAAAGGTATTTAAAAGGATGAAGAAACATTGACCGAAGGGATTTGTTCAGATCGGTGTCAAGAGTCAAGACTGACTTAAAGGCATTAAAATAAATAATTTTTAAAAATGGTGGTGATAGGATAGGGCAGCTTTATAAGAGGGAGGTATGGGATCCAAACAAGAGCATCATAAAGATTCACGCTACCTTCCATGCAAGTGAGGACAGTTAGACAAATGGTACTTTTACCTAGTATGTCCTAAGCTTTAAAATACACCTGGTCACCCAATTAAAATAATCTTAGGTGACTGATCAAATTGTGTTTTAACCAGTGATGGTATGCTACCAGTTCAGCCTGGTTCGACCAAACTGGTAGTAAAAAAAAAAGCCTCCCCCATAAGCTGAGAGGAGAAAGAAGAGAAAAATGCAGGTTCAGCCGACCACCTGCCCCAGTGCTTTTCTCTTTATCCTCTCAGCTGACTGGCACCGCAGGTCTCAGCTGGTATGTGGAAAGCTGCACATGTGCGATCCACCAAACCGATAGTGCAGGGGTCCCCAACCACCGGGCCCCGGACCGGTACCGGTCCGTGGATCATTTTCTACCGGGCCGCCAGTTTGCTGGGTGCCGCCATCTTGTTTCGACGAGAAAGTGCTTCCGGGTGAGCTTTTCAGGTTGGAAAGCGGCGTTTGGGTCCTGAAGGAATCCTTGCGCCTTAGTTTCATCGAAGGGGGGGGGGGCGGCTTCGAACGAAGAGCCGTCCCGATGGTGGAGGAGATTAAGAAAGCACAAAAAAGGTACAAAGGAGGAGTTGAAGGTGGCGGGGAGAAGCAGGGGACAGCTGGCTGGCAGGTTGCTCGGCTCTCCTTGCCTTGTCATGCGTGCGGATGCTGGTACCGGGCCGCGGATCATTTTGTGATGCCGGTACCGGGTCGTGGCACAAAAAAAGTTGGGGGCCACTGCGATAGTGGAACAAGTAGGATCCCACTGCTGGTTTTAACCTATTAGTCAACCAGTTTATTAGACAGATATGCAAATGTTTCTTTAGGACTGAGGGATTCATTTGAAAAAGACCCAGCCTCTCCTTAATTTTAGTCAGTGAAATATATGCATCAAAACAAAATATCTTGGGGTTGACCTAAAAACCTAAGAAATGAGTTAAGTCCATAAGCATTCATGCAGTCGAGTTTGCTTCATCAGAGATGTCATCTAAAGCAGTCAATGTTTGAAAAAACTGACTTGCCTAATTAATTAGATAAGCATTTTTAATCAACAAAAAGGATTTTAATTGATTAGTCTAACTCATTCAGCAATTGAAAGTTAGAACCCTGTTTAAGAGTTCAATAGGAAATTGAACAGAGGCTCCCACAACTGCGGTCCAAAACCACCACACCAACAATGGCACTCCACTTGGGATACTGTTGAGTTTTTCTGCTTTGAAAGGATGTTCCTCTATCTGAAAATGAACTCTTCATTAATTGGAAAGAGAGAAAAGAAAGAATGGGTGAAGGATTCTATTTATACAGATGGCCCTCGTCTTACGACCACAGCTGAGCCCCATATTCATGTTGTTAAGTGAGACATTTGTTAAGTGCATTTTGCCCCATTTTACAACTTTTCTTGCCACAGTTGTTAAGTGAATCACTGCAGTGGTTAAGTTAGCAACCTGTTCAGTGAATCTGGCTTCCCCCATTGACTCTGTTTATCAGAAGGTCTCAAAAAGTTATCATGTGACTCTGAGATACTGCAACTGTCATAAATATGAGTCAGTTGCCAAGTGCCTGAATTGTGATCACATGACGATGAAGAAGATGCAACAGTCATTAGTGTAAAAAGTGGTCATAAATCACTTTTTTCAGTGCCATTGTAACTTTGAATGGCCTTTAAATGAACTGTTCTAAATCAAGGACTACCTGTATATGTAAACTGCCATCAAAGCCTTTTTAATTGAAGAACAAAATGTTTTCAAACTGGAAAGTATTTCAGATGTTTTAAAAAAATGTTCACATCCTGCCAGGGGAATTCTGGGAGTTGAAGTCTTCACAAACTTGTTAAGGTTGAGAAAAATTGACTTGTATGCTGCATATATGGTAGTAAAATATACTGTAACTAGCTCAATAATCATGCTTCGCTACGAAACTATGTGGTTGGGCTTAGTTTTTGGGGAGGAAAATAAGGGGGAAAATTCTGCCTCTGCCTACCAGCATCCATTGGTACTCATCTGGCTAGCGCCCTGTCAGTGTGTGAGAGAGTTGAGAGCTGTTTGGAAACTGAAAGAGTATTTGCTGTGTGAGCAAGAAGGAGACAGCAAGGAGCCTGGACGTTGCTTAGCTCAACTGTTTTTTTTACTAAAGCTGCTTGGTACTATGAAACTAAAACTGAAACTGAAATGCCTCTCCTCTGAAGAACTCCTTAGCATCAGAGCGTGTTAATAATAATATAGGAAATACTAATGCTCTGATGGTCATTTCAAAAAATCCTTTCTTAGTGAGCACCTAGAAGCCAAGAGGAACATACGTGCCAAATTTCAAGTTTGTAGGCTTTATGGTTCTGGAGAAGTTGGGATGATGCGTGAGTGGTATTTCGCTTTTATATTTATAGATTATTAGTAAAGCTGACCAAGTCTTTAAATGCAAAAGGCTTTCAAATTATGGCTATAGCCACAAAAATGGCTCCCATCTAAATCTGCATGCATGTGCGTGTACAACTACTTCTCGTTCTGAAGTACCTCGTTCAAAGGGTTTGAAAACCTGTTTATCTATGCCGTTTATTTCTTTATTTTGCAAACCTTTCCCTGAATGTTTGAGCAGCTTCCTTACAGCCAGGCTGAAATACCAATGAAATCAGTCCAGAACACAATTCAGTGAAAAAGCAGCAAAAAAGAAAGAAAGAAAGAAAGAAAGAAAGAAAGAAAGAAAGAAAGAAA